TACAATATCCTATGTCTAGAGATAAAGAAATATGTTTATTTATGTAGGAGAAAAAATATTTTACCAAATATAGATGGATTAATTAGAAGTTTTAAATTAGCCTCTTCAATTATTGATGCATGTGCAACAAATACAAAAGATAACATAACGAATTGGACAATTGTTCAAAAAATCATTTAATTCTTTTTAGAGTAATGTAAATTTATAATTTATTAATATACAGCCATTGCTTTTTTGTTAAAAGTTTGAGTATAAGAAACAACAACATAATGTTTTCTCTGTTCAATCTATGAGCTACCTTTCCTTTTTTTCTCTTCTTTTATTTCCCTTGTGATTTTGTTTGTATATTATTTTGTGTATGTACATTTGTATATATTATGTGGAAATGTGAAGTTGTGATTAATACTCAATGACAATAATTGTTACTAAATCAACAAATATTTGATACATGTGTATATATAATATGATAAATAAAATCTTTTGTAAGGTATGGAGGGGATGCCCTCGACCCCCACATACCCATGACGAGGGAAATTAAAAAAAAAAATTAAAAAAAAAAAAAAAAAAGAATATAAGAATAAACAATATTATATATTGAAAGATTAACCATTATTTACTGACTTTTTCCAGTTAATTTTTGACTTATAATCGTCGGTCAATATGACAATTGAATTCTTAAAATTTATTTTACAATTTAAATTAAAAAAAGTAAGTAAACATAAAAAGCGCATAAAACACAAAAAAGAAAAGAAAACAATATTCATAAAATCTGTAATTTTTTTATCAAAATTAATATATATTACATTTATTGTATAATAAACAATTATGCTTAACATGATCAATATGGTAATATAACCAGTGTCATATTTTTACTAAGTGTGAATAGATACTTTAAGAGGGGGTCTTCGCTAATAGCGATAACATAATAAGGGACAATTACACAAGTGTGGTGTTGATCATGCGTTACACATATGGATTGTAAATGATTGTTTACATGTATATCTGTTGCTCACCCATATGGTCTCTTTCCAGTGGCAAGGGTAAACAAACGCAAACACACAAAATCCGTTGCTATTAATAACTACGGTCTTAAAGAAATAAGAAGTAATATTCTAATCTCTAGCATGCCAATCAAAGTTCATAATGAACAATGTCTTTCGTCCGCTCATTCATAAGTGATATACAATTCTGGTAAAAACCATTGAAAAGATTATAAGAATATCTTGTCATCATATGTCTACTAGTTCATCTTCACTTGCTGCATTTCTTGCTTGGACGCCCTTTGATGCTTTGCATCAATGCTTTTCTTGTTATCACTGTCAAAGATATGGTATTATTCAAGTCATGTGTTCTGCTATTATTTCTGTCATGAGTCATATCCTATTGTCCAATAAGACATTTTTGATTACCAAAGTTCACAGTTCGGTAGTTGAACAGAAATTTGAACTGTGTGTTAATTATTGTCATTTAAATATGTGACCGTTTTGCACAAGAACACTGAGATTTGCATTTGTGAATATGAATAAAATCATTTCAGTAAGAATGTTTTCAAGTACATATATACGATGTATCCTATAAGGCAATTTGATATCTTCTTAAATAAATGTTCCAATATTAAAAAAAAAAAAAAAAAAAAAAAAAAGGATATATGTCAAGGAAAACCCAATTCTTATTAACTATCATTGCATTGCACATAGATAGCTTAAGTTACCTCACAGGCGGCAGATGGATGTTCCGGTTTTAGTTGACTTTCAGAGTGTGTTGACTGGAATATTTTATTACTTTGAAGCAGTAGTCAACAGATGTGATTAACTGTAAAAAATTCAGTTGACAGACAGTAACTTAAATTTTAAAAAAAAGACAAAACAGTCATAAAGAAAAACTATATAGTTCAAGTTAAAAAACATTCAATTTATAAAAGTCAAATTCATTGATGTTATTCTTTACAAACTAAGTGAAAGGTTTCCAGACAATGGCAACAATATATAAAAATTATGCCTTTGCAGTTCAGTTCATGACCTATAATTATGTTTTCAAAGAGTGAGCTAGAGGCCTGGGGAAATAAGAAACTTGTAGTTTTGATAAAAGTGTATTTGGAAAAGAAAGAGTCTACAGCCTAAGAAAGATCAACCAGTAGAGAGAGCCAGTAATCTAACCAGACGAAATTCGTTAGTATTCAATTTGGCAAATAGTTAAATCACTGATCCTGAAGAAATTTCAGAATCTGTATCTAGTCTGCTAAGACATAAAAGTCATGATTAAACCAGAAATTTAGTCTGACTTTTTAAAATAAATTCTTATTATTTTATAACTCCATACTAAGTTATTATTTTTTATAAGATTTTTGATTTCGGCTGTTATCCGGAACAGCGTTTTAAAGGTACGATAGTACCAACTCATAAGAAGGTTGATTATTCTAATCCGGCTAATTACAGAGATATTTTGTTAGTTAATATCTTTGCAAACGTTTTTGTCATTTGCTTTCAGAAATAGGCTAAACAGACTTATTAAGTGACTCAATCAAAATCGAGTTTGCAATTTTCATATTAGTTTTGTTGTTAGTAATGCTTTCGAGGGGTCACCTTATATAGAATTTTTACAAATAAACTTAATTTAGATTATCAGCGGATAACCTGAAACTTGAAGCTGGGAGATGTGTTGGCATTGAAAGAGAACATCGCATTGTAGAATTAATACATGTAATCTGACGAGTATCACATATTGTTTGTATGTAAATTATAAAATGAACTGAGAACCCAATGTTTTATTCAAATTTGGCTTAACCGTGAATTGTCATGTTATAATGAACTGAGCATTTTCGCTCGTGCAAATTATAAATAATCATTTTTTGTGTTACGTTATAAGTATCTTGGAAACATTAATTGCCCAACTTGCAGAAATTCAATCAATAAAATGTCAACAAACTTAAAGTGACTGAGTTATTGTCCTGACAAGTCTAAGGGGACGCCGACATTAACAAAGTGCAATGACTCAAAAATCATAATGTGCAGAGTACAAGTTCTTAAGCACTGCACTTCTTCTCAATTAGATCTCTCATCCTATGAAATTTAAAGTCAATAGCTTTTAAAGTGTAGTAGAATTGGCTCGGGACAAAGCTCTGAAACCATTCGAGGTATCAACAAGGAACTTTGGAGCTAGATATATCTTATTTAATAGAAGTGCATTACAAAAGAACCGTTACTTCTGCCTTCCTTAATGTTTGAGTTATTGTCCTTTGTTCATTTTTTACACTTTGAACATTGTGTAGGACAAAGTTCTGAAAGTATTAAAGATATGAACAAGACACTTTGTTTGTAGGTGTAGATGAGTAGTGTAAAAAAACGTAACTCTTCCTTGTCTAAATGTTGTAGTTATTGCCCATTGTTTCTTATTTTACTTTGAACTTTGTCCGGGACTGAAACTATAACAAATATTATTAATATAAAACTTTGTAGTTAGATAGACCTTATTAAAAGAAGTGCAGTGCAAAAGAACGGTAACTTTGCCATGTCTATTTTTGGAGTCTTTTTTAATTTTACACTGTGAATTTTGTCCGGACATAACTGTGAAACAACAAAAGGTATCAACAAGCAACTAAGTTTGTAGATAGATCTCATTGAGTAGAAGTGCAGTGCAAAGAACAGTAACTCTGCCATTCCTTGTTTTTTTAACTTTGTCTGGAACATAACTCTGAAACTACACATGGTGTACTTTTCTGTGTCCAAAACATATTCGGGAAGCATCACCCGGTTCAATCCAGTTCTTGTTTTTTTTGGGTTATTGGCCTTTGTTAATTTTCATACTTTATTTTTCTCCAGTGCATGTCTCCTAAACTATAAAAGCTATGTACTTAAAACTTCATAGGATGATAGATCTCACTGAGAAAAAGTGTAGTGTTATAACCCCCGTACCCTGCACTTTATGATTTTTAAGTTATTGCCCTTTGTTAATTTTCATACCTTTTTGTCCGGACAGCGTTCAATGTAAAAAATGAAATAATGACAATAACTCCAAAATTAGGCGGCAAGACAGAGTTACAGTTCTTTTTCTCTGAACATCTACCTAATGAGATCTATCTACCTACATAGTGTCTTGTTCATATCTTTCATACTTTTTTGAGAGCTATGTCCTTGACAATGTTCCAGGTGAAAAAATAAACAAAGGGCAATAACTCCAAAGTTGTGCAATGAAATGTTACGGATCTTGTGCCCAGCATATCTACCCATTGAGATATATCTACTTACAAAGTTTCATGTTGATATATCTTATAATTTTTGAGTTATGTCTCGGACAAAGTTCAAAATTGTAAAAATGAACAAAGGGCAATAACTCCAAAATTAGGCAAGGCAGAGTTACGGCTTTTGTGCACTGCACATCTACCTAATAAGATCAAACTTTCAACAAAAATTCATGTCGATATCTCTTATAGTTTTAGTGTTATGACCAGGACAAAGTTCAAAGTGTAAAATGAAGAACGGACAATAACTCCAAAATTAGGCAAGGCAGAGTTACGGTTCTTGTGCACTGCACATTTACCCATTGAGATCAATCTATCTACAAAGTTTCATGTGAAATACTTTTTATATTTTTAGAGTTATTTCCCGGACAAGATTTGTTGTAAAAGGGCAGATAATTCAAAAATGGGGCGAAACAGAGTTATGCTTCTTTGGCACTGCACTCCACATCAATGCCCTCTACCACTGTATGCAGTTTAAACAAATTATACACAAGGGTTTTCAAGTTATGCTCCGGACAAACACAACTGACGGCCAAGACGGCGACTATATGCTCTCCCTTCGGGGAGCATAATAAGAGGTGCAGAGTTACGATTCTTATGCACTGTACTTCAGGTCATTTAAAGAAGCATGCATTCCAAGTTTGGGGTCAATCCAACCTATAGTGACTGAATTATATCCGGACAAGCCTAGGGCACCGCCGACAAAATTAACTCCGATATGTCGACTTTTTCATGGCGACACAAAAATGATCAAGCCAAAAGGTTAAGAAATATGTTTTTAACTCAATGTATAACAAGCGAACAATTTCATACATAACAAATGCACAAAGTATATTAATTAAACAAGCAAATTCAAATATATTGCACGATCCATGAAGAATAAGTATTTCTTAGGCTGCAACTAATGCTTCAATAGACCGTTTAACAATAAAAAATAGCATCTAATGAAATAATACATCTTTACATTACTATATACATACATGTATGGTAATAACAATTTTCATAAACAAGATTTTTGTTCCTTTCTTTATCTACATTAAGATAGGTCATGAAACGGTTTTTGTTCTTTAAGATTTTTATCGTTAAAATATAAAACAAATGAAAGTTATACCATCGATCAATGACGCATTATTAACTTTTACATTATTTTCTTTTAATCGTTTCTAAAAGCATTTTAAATCCATATTTATTTTTTAAGTTAAGAACCTACATAGGAAACATACTAAAACATTAAATTTAAAGTTCTCTGGTGGATCAATGTCAAGAAGATGGTTTAATTGAACACTCTTGATAATCGGCTAGCGATGAAAAGCAGTGTTGAATTTCAGTAGACCGTTTTCCATGTCAATAGCATACTCATCCAAGGAAAGCATTGCCCCTATAAAGTAAGAAATAAGATATATAACTAATATGTTTTATCTTTGACATATATATTTTTAATCTTTGGGAAAAAAATATTTTGACCCAACTTTCTTTGTAAAATAAAAGACTTGAATGGATCGCAAAATTCAATATTACTTAAGCAATTGATTCAATATGAATAGTTATCTTAAAGTCACGATGTAGCGAGGACATACAAGAACATTTATATATATAAAGATAAAATTTTTACTGAAAATGTTATATGTCCCAGAATGAAGATGGAAATTTTCATTTCCTACTCGTGTCTATCTTCATGCACAATCTCAAGGTAATACATTTATAACAAAAATGTCCTGCATTGTAAAAATTATATTATTAGACTAGAATAGGGACACAAATTGAAACTTCATTCTTGCTTACTTGATACCTTTTTTTCAAAATTGTGTTGATATTCAGCAAGAATTGCAACAGTCGATCATTATTTAGTTGGAATCGATAATTTTTCGCCTTTGCCAAAAGTAAAGGGCTATGCAAGCCTGCACACCAATGTCTTTTGTCCTGGTTCTATACTGTTAGCAGCTTGTTGTTATAATTATTTCTATACTGAAAACCCTTAAAGTTCAAATTGACTATTCCAAATTCAAAGCAGGGCCAACACAAATTCAGCTGGTAAAGAGTTTTTTTTTTAACATTTGTTCCTTACAGATGGTCTATAATGTCTTTAATCATACCTAATCCGGTTTACTATCAGCAAAGTCGCCATATGGCACATGCATTATTGTTTTGAGGGGTGAATAAAAACGTAACAATACACTTTATTACCTGACGGAACAATAGCATGGAGAGGCTTGTGGAGTATAACAACGCCATCATATTGCCGATGCTTTGATGTCACCTTCACAGGTATATCAGCTGTTTTACACACGACCTTCGGTCCTAGATAAATGAGAATTCATAGATGATATTTGTTTATTCATATCTAAATAAATTCATTCAGGAGAGAGTTTCATATAAGCCCTAAGCTTTCCAGTAAATCCTGGATACAATTTATGTCTTGTAATTTTGTACATATTGAAGAAGAAATAAGTATTGTTTAAACCAAAAAATTCATCATTTATTTCATATATATACAAATGATTGTACATTTCTTCAAGGAAGTCCTGTCCAAAAGAATGGAATGTAATTGAAACAATTTAACCATTTATAAAAAAGGGGTTTGAATATTTTGTTGAATATAAAATAAAGGAGAATAATGTAGAATAGAGCTGTTTAAAACAAAAAAAAATTGTCCACACTTTCCTCTCTCCATTTAAATGAAAATATCGTTCACTTGTTAATGCTTTATATTTTTTCTAAAGAATTAGGGAGTCTTTGTGTCAGCTTTCAATTTTTATATCTATCTGAAGGAAAGTGTTGCTATGAACTTAATCAATTATATCTTAAAACTTCTTTACCTTGAACATTTTCATAAGAGTCATGCTGTCCTCTGTTAGTTTGATCTGCAGGGATTTCGTGGACCTCTGAAATTAAATGAAACACTTGATGTCCTTATTCATTTTTATTAATGTATTAATTTCTCAGAGCACTAAGTGTCGTTAATAATATTTGTTTAAAATATAACATGAACTGTAAGTACAAGGTGTGCTCAAAAAGAACATCTACATATTTTATTATTTAATTTATTGATTATTAGAGTCTCATCTATACTTATAAACATATTATTAAAAATACCCGATACACACTTAAAATACATGTATAGCCATTCTAAAAGACTATTTCTAAGAGTGACAAATCTCACAAAAACAGAAGTATTTATGCACTGCAGATTTATCTCCCTTAGTCACACACATTTCTTACAGAACAAGATATATTTGTATTTCCCTTTTATATACATAATGATATGATACAGGCAAAATAAATAAAAGTATCCTTGCTAATCATATTAACAACCTTAAAAACCATACGTAAAAGAATTGAGTTATAATAAAATGCTAAAAATGTCCCGCAGTCTAAAACATGGGTGTAAAATAATGGTGTGTGATTAATAAGATCAGAGCACATTAAGATTAACAAGGAAACTTTAGGCATGAATAAAAACATTGCATATATAAACACTAGGACAATATATCATATATATAAGACATAGTATTTTATGATTAATAATGATATAAAACAAGTTTTCTTTTATTTAGGAGCACGTTATGGCACTTACTATGGCTATGTCTGCATGTGATAAAATGTACCCAACCTTATCAATAATGGTTAAATTATCTTAATTATCTGGCATGCGAGCAGTTCACGTATAGCAGTACCCGTATTTTTCATTCAAAAGCTTGATTTTTACTTGCATTCTTTAAAAACTGATATCAAATCAAGCGTATGTATGAGCGAGACAAAATCTAATTGTCAGCTTAGCAGTACGTATAAAAAGTTTTTATTTTAAATCACTTCCACCTGTGCGTTGTCAAAATGTGACCTTGTAAACATTGGGGGATTCCGTACTTGCGCGCATGCGCATACAAATGACACCCGTTAAAAGGAATTTCTCTAACAGATAAGTGGGCAATGTGATGAAGACCTGTTTAGTTATCAGAATTTTAATCTACGTTACTATTAAGTACTTTTATGGCTTTAATGAGTAAAATGCATGTGAAGGTGTTAGAACAACAGTACAAGGTAAAAGATCTATCCTGAATGACACCTATTTACCTCTAGGAAAATGGTCTCTTTAACAATATCCAAAGAAAAAAGGTCTTATGTAACAATATTGTATAATTATAGTGGGTTATATTTTATGTACGGGAACTACTTCTCTTCACACAAAATAATGAGTGTAATTTCGTTACCCCTTAAGAGGCCAGCCTTATAACTAAGAGATATTTTATGTTTAGAACATAATGGAATTTCCATAATGTGTATGACGAGAGTTGAATTTTGATATGTACTCATTTTTTGGTGAGTGAGTGTAATGAAAAATAATGTTAAAGTAACTACGATTTCTCGCATGCCAGTAGACATGTTTTATTAAATAAAACATAAATGTATTCTATTTGCCTCTGTAACTGTAATGGATGTCCTTAAATATAATTTATGATAACATTTTGTTCTTTTCAGCATTTCGCTTTGATATATTTTACTTTTTTATCTCTTTGTTAACATCGAGCAAGGGTAAAAGTAATAAAAAGCTAAGTGTACTGTTGTGTCAATGATGTTAGAATCACTGCGTCGACAGCTGTTGACGGATGGATGAGCGCACAAACAAAAGAATCATTCCTGCTGTCCTTATATAATCATTTAAATCACACAATGTATGTTTATACTATTAATTATAAAGTGAAATTCAGAATTGAATAATAGATGAAAAATATAATAGATGGAAAATGTTTCACTTTAAGATGATAAATTTTATTGTTTACGCATCAAAAAGGAATTCTTACATCACGTATTCCCTAATTAACTTTGTCGCTGATAAACTATCTTATCACATAAACAATGACCGTGGAGTATAATAAAGCCATGTTCTAATATCGATATTACAATAACACTAGTGTAATATCTATGCACATGAGGCCACTATTATCTCAAATGCACTGTCAACAAAATAAACAAACTTGGCGGACCGTCTCTATAAGACTGACTAAGTTCTGTTCCAATCACTTCTGAATGAAATTGTATAGAGCTCTGTATAACAACAATTACACTGTCACCGAAAGATAAAAATCCAGTCATGCAAAGCTTACCAAAGTAAAGTGAAACGCATTTCTTTGGCATTCGAAGCCATTTTGAAAGTTTTTGTCCGTTCAATCATGAATCCAACATAGTTTTTCAAAACATGTTTTAAAAAGCTTCATCAATAATTGATATGATAAATAACAAAAATGACTTAAAAAGGGAAACTCTTAACATTTGAATTGTACGAATGATCACCAAACATACGAAATACTTTTCAATCTTTATGCCATGTTTTTTTCCAACCGAATATAAGTGGAATCATAATATTGAAATAAATATGTAAAAAGATAAGTATACTTCTGATAAAGTATGTTGTTAGAAAAAAGAAATTATTGTAATAAATGTCTTAAACAATGTTTATAAAAAATACTTGCACGAGATGACTTTTTGTGAAATCTAGCTACCATCCATTGACTTAAAACGTATCAAAAGTCTAAAATTATTATTAAAAGCATTACCAAAAATGATCTTACCTGACATCCTAAGTTAATCAAGTAAGTGCCAAGACGTAATTATATGAAATGAGGATGATAATCTTTTGAAGTTACTAGTTTCTATATACACCACTTGTTGATGGTATAGGTGATAATATTGTATCACAAAGTGTACGTTATTTAAAATAATTAGCATGTTACTTCCTTTACTTCCATCCGTGTTTAAATGGTTTAAATTAAACAAAGGTGAGAACTTTCATTGGAAAATGATCTTCTCAGATTGAGATTATGAATTAACTACATGTATATAAAACGCATCACTTATGATTTGAAACAAAAATAATTACTTACAAAGGCACTTCACGGATATAAATTTCATATTTTAAAGTTATGACTCATATAGATTTGTAAGTAGGCTTAACAAAATAACATGTTTTGATTAGGTATTAGTGAGAATAAGGTTTAAGGTCTCAACAGACGATATACATGTATCTAGTTGAACAAAACTAATTAAAGATATGATGTACAAATAATAGTAATACAACTCTTGCATTCAGACCGTAATTTTACATTGTATTAATCACCAAGTTTCCATCCAAAACAACTCCCTTCAAATGGATCACTTACAGAATTTACTCACACTCAAACTATTTTTACTTCATGAATATTGATTGAGACTTCTCCATTTAAAAACACATAAGTCTGTAATTGTCAAAGGGTAAGTATTATTATAATTTTCAATTTCTTACTTAACTTCGCATGAATAATCAATTACCCGTGTGACTCAAGTAAAATTCCGTATATTTTCTACGGAATTTATCAGATACAAAGATATGATAAAGAATAATGGAGCTGTTTTTAATATTTGTCAACATTATATTGTTTACATTAAACATTTACATAATCAGGAAGTGGTCAATCACCAATTTAATAAATACTCTTATGAAGATGTCGCTACCTAAGATAAAACACTGGTAAAAATGAGTATGGACACTTAAATTCATTTCCAAAATTTACTGCTAAATAGACATAGCCTAATGGTACTTAAGTACGAGCACTTATAAATAAACAATATGTCATGGCAATATATAAGTACATGTAATATGATATATTTTATGATAATACTGAATAAAAAGTGTCATTTTCATATCTTGATATTGAATTTAACTCTGTTAGCCGGTGTAAAAGGGACGTGGGTGGTAGATGGTTTCCATGAGCAGGTTGTTCAAACCGTGCCTTATGCATTAACATTATAAAGTTTGCCAGGTTGGTAGACCTTTTAACTTTTTTTGCCATACTACATTATGCTTTGTCATGATTTTATGTATGATCAAGTTACGTTTTATTTTCTATTTCCATAATTTTCATAATATTATTGCAACATGTTAGAAATGCGTTATTGAGAAATACGATATTGGCAATATCCGTATTTGTCAAAAGCTATCAGAGGACGAATTGCCAAACAAACAAAATATTCATGCTATCTGTTCTTGTCATGTGTTCGTAACTTTTTATATACTCATGTACTCTTTTAAAACCGAATAAGATTTTCGAAGTCGAAATACCGGACCCTGAACAAGTTCTTTCAAATAGAAAGATTTGAAAAATATGTCTGTTTGAAAGGCCCTGCCTTGAATGAGCATTTCTAAAACTAAATTATATTGAAAACCTTAATCGCTACCAAAGCTGTAGTATTTTAAAAGCGCCAGAAAATGTTTGATATTATACATTGCTGTATCAAGGCTGGGATAAACTTTAAATTATTAAGTTTTGTTTGTTTGTTTCATTTTACGCCTTTTTCCAACAGTATTTCTTTCATATAGGCGGTTAGTTTCCTAACCATCGTTCCAGTACTAGAGTACCTTACTCCGCGCTAAACTTTCAAAGCATCTCACGGGGATCGAACCCACGCCAGTCATCGACTCTAACTTCTCGACCACAGAGGCGGTGAAAGTATCGTAAAGTTCCGGAATATGGGTAATTTCTCTCTACTTCAAGAAGTAGTAAAAAAAATTAAAAAGTGTAAATCGTGTAAATCTTACGTTCTTCCAGATGACTAACAAATAATAAAGACGCGACTTATTGCAAAACGCAAAAATATTTCATTCTTTAAAGAATATCAATATTAACGAACATTAAATGTTAAACAATTCCAGATTTTAAATTTGCTTTCTTGACATTATTTTCAATAATTTGATCTTCAGCAGTGAACACATAGATATGAAAGTAATTTTAACTTATGTTAACCACGCGCGCATAATATAACATTACATAGACATCATTTTAATCAACTTATATATTGATCAACAAATATATAATTATAACATAACCTTCGTATTCCAACTGAAAAATACTATTCCTTAATACATGTAGATGAATGAGAAAAACTTTGAACAACTTTCGTCATAGATATATTTGTACAATGACTGACCATTCTACGGAAGCTAATTGAAGCCGTTTTGAGTTAGGAGTAAGAAGGCAACAATTTGAACTTATTGTATGATCTTAGAACTTAAATCCTAAAACTTAAAACTTAAGTCTTAGACTTAGAACTTAGAGGTTTCGTAAATGAGGCAAAACGCCATATTGACTGCAAGATAAACCTGAAAATGTATGTGTGGTCTGTACAGATTGTTCAAAGTAAGATACGTACTGCTTGATATTATTTTTTTAAATAATAACTCGTCTGTTTATGCTACATTTTTGTTTCTCAGAGTTACTTTGCCACATGGTACTACTAAGCATCTCTAATTCAAGAAATAAAACAGTTTTTGTGAAACATTTGAAATAACGTCAAATATCAAAATATATGGTCACACTGTCAGTCATACTGTTAGAATATTATTGACAGAAAAGATAATCATAAAGTTAAATGTCATCTCAATTTATTAGTTTTTAAACTGACAAGTATGTTTTTAATAAAAATACAAAAGATAGTAACTGTGCTAAGACACATGATAGATCACCATTCAGGATTATGGGATGGTGTACATGTGTGGGTATACAAAAGGCTGACTTGTTAGAGGACTTTGACTTTTTTTTTATCAAATTGTCTAAGTGTAAAAATGGCACCGATAATTAGGCTATATACATATTTTTTTTCGACAATGCACTTTGCAACCTTTATCATTAATCTTGACTTGTACTCTCTTTCAAATATGTTTGCTGTTTTCTTCACAGGTTAAAGTAATAAGAAGAACTTTGTGGTGTTTTCCTGGAATTCTGTTATACCATTCATAAGAATATATAACAAATATTCAGACCATATGAGATGTTTTAAATAATGTTAGCGTATGTTAAATCAACTTTGAAGCTAAAACTGTAATTTTAAAGCATCATGTAATTTTGTCTTACGGTCATTAAAATATTACTTTTAGACAATCAACTCTAACGAACACAGATTTATGCTTAAGTCTGTGAAATGTAGGAAAATATGGCCTTTTGGAGTGTTAGATCAACTAAATTGGATTAGTTTTAATTGATCTTCTTCCAAATAGTTACAGACAACATTGTATATAATGTATGATACGACATCGAATTCTAAAATATTCTTTTACTATTTTAAGTAAGTTTTGCGATGATTACGTGCATGTACGACTCACTTAAACAAACATTTCAAAACTTCATTATTTCATATTTGATATTTAAGCTAGATTCTTATAAGTATATAAAAACAAATAATTTGATAATAAATGTAAAATATATTACTTTGCTCAAACTCCATCCAGATATAAGTATAAAATATGATAATTATGACAAAACAATAATGTTGTTTTATACTTTCATTTCTTCAGAATGAACCTCATATCAGTTAAAGTATTCTTTATTCTGTTCAAAATTGTATTATCTGAATAATTACTGTTGTTCTACTAAAGATTAATAAATCCAAATTATATTTTTACTGCTGTTTGCAAAATAACTAAGAAATGAAAATTCTTATAGACTCATACTGTTCATGATGTGGTGGAAGAAATACAAGTTTATTGTATAGATAGCTGCAAATAAACGAAAACATTTGCGACCTCACATTGAATGCTATCTTGATCATCATATTGTATGTTCGTTATTTATCTCTTTGGAAGATAAAAACCATTAGATTTGACGGACATTGAAGGCAAGACACAAATAACAGATATATTACATTTTATTACATAACATTTCTTATACATAATATACATAAATACAACTAGCAAGGTTTTTATTCAAATATATTGCACGGTCCGAGTAAATATTTCCATATACATGTATTTAAAAAAAAACGTTTAAATAATGAATAAAACATCTGATTAAATAACTTCTCTATATATCTATATACATATATACAATACTTATAATATTTCCTAAACAATTATTTTTTCTTTGACAAGTTAAATAATGAAAGTGCTGTTTTTAAGACTGTTTGCATTCAAATATCAATTAATAAATCAAAATATCATTGTTAACATTTATTCCTTTTGTTATTGTTTTGTTCGTTATTTACACTCATTTTAATCCATATTTTCTGAGGTAAGTAACAGAAGATGGAACATATTATATTATTTAAATTGAAGTTCTCCGGTGGATCAATGTCGATGGTTTGAATAAGGAACAGACTATTGTTGATACACAGTGTTGAATTTCAATAGACTGTTTGACATGACAACAGCATACTCATCCATGGAAAGCATCGCCCCTACATAGTAAATAAATGAGGTTATATAAGTATATAATGACGTCCTTAAACTTTGTTTGCATAACAAACTTTATACAAACAATAAAGTATATCACAGTCACAGTATCTTATTAAAAAAGACTTGAAGTACTTGAAGTACGTGAGCATCTAGCAACTGATTAATATATAATGAATTGGTCCTCAATGGGCACATACAAGTAGTTCATTTTTGATTAAAACATTAGAAAGGTATCGTTTAGATATTCTTATGAAACATTATCGAAAACCAAAATTTTGATAAAAGTTCTAACATGATATAGTGCGAACATAAACATGACGAATAATAGTATGTTGTTCTTGAAAACTTTATTATCTATTATATACTGATGCGCCATAACGGTGATGTATGTAACACATACCAAAAACATCCACACATAATTATTTCGAGGTTTCTTTTCACATATTATATTTTCAACATAACTATTTACAGTATTACAGATTTTCCAATATCAGATTATACACCAATTCACTTGAATTATGTTCTTGAATTATTCAAATTCTACTGAAAATGCCACATAACGAAAAGGAAGTGGAGCATTTGCTTTATCTCCCTTTGTCTTTCTTTTTTCTTTGCTGGTTTTATGTTCACCGCCATATGACACGAGCGATGTCGGTTTTAGAGGTGAATTAAAAAAAAACCGTAACAATACAATTACCTGACGGGACAATAGCATGGATAGGCTTGTGGAGTATAACAACGCCATCATATTGCCGATGCTTTGATGTCACCATCATAGGTATATCAGCTGTTTTACACAAGACCTTCGGTCCTAGATAAATGAGAGTATCATAGATGATAGTTGTTAATTCATATTTGAAGAAATTCATTCAGGAGAGAGTTTAATATAAGCTTTATGCTTTCTACTCAATCCTGGATGCAATTTATGTATTGTAATTTTGTTTGTTAATATTTAAGAAGAAATAAATATTGTTTAGACCAACAAATTCATCATTTTATTTCATATACACATGTATACACAAATAATTACATTTCTTCAAGGAAGTCTGTCCAAATGAATGGAATGTAATTGAAACCATTAAACCATTTATAAAAAAGGGGGTTTGAATATTTTGTTGAATATAAAATAAAGGAGAAGAATGTAGAATAGCGCTGTTTAAATAAAACAAAATAATGTGTCCACACTTTCCCCTCTCCATTTAAATGAAAATGTTGTTCACTTGTTAATGCTTTGTATTTTTACTTAATGAAATGGGGGTCTCGTTTGAACTTCTTTGTGTCAGCTTTCAATTTTTATAAAAGGCATGGCCTATTTCAGCAGCGAGCATAAACTCTATTTTTCAATTATTTTAAACCAATTAAAGTCCAATATACTTTTAATCTGTAATTACTTTATTTATTTATTCGAACCTTAAACATAAACAATAGTCTAGGAAATATTATAAAGGACAGTGTTGCTATGAACTTGATCAATTATCTCTTAAAACTTCTTTACCTTGAACATTTTCATAGTCATGTTGCCTTCTGTTAGTTTGATCTGCAGGGATTACATTGGCCTCTGAAATAAAATAAAACAATTGATGTCCATATTAATTTATATCCATGTATTTAATTCTTAGAACACTATGTGTTTTAATAGTTTTTATTTAAAATATAAATAAACTGTAAGTACGAAGTGTGTTCAAAAAGTGCATGTACATATCGAATTTATTGAAAACGATATGAAAATGTTTTATAAAGTACTGAACAAGCTTGCCTGATCCGGATGCATCATCAATGTTCTGTGGAGATGCAAAACTGCTCGAATGTCTCCCTGAAATTAAAAGTATTTTTTAAATATATATTTCAAGGCACATCGCGAAGAACGAGAAAGGCCATATAAGTACCTTTAATGTTGAATTCAGAATCATTTTGAACAAAACTTTTAAATATTTTTTTAAAATTGCATACACGTACAGACTCACAAAATTAAATAAAAGATAAAAAAATATTTTATCACGACATAACGACAATTGTACAATAAAGCAGTGTACTAAAATCGATATAACAGTTACACGAGATGAGATAACTGTAAACTGTGTGTACGTATTCATATGTATGTCAACAAAATAACTAGGCTGGCCATCTGCAATAAGACTGACTAAGGTCTGTTCAAATCACTTCTGAAGAAAATTGTATACATAATGCGTGTAGAAATCTTTTATAACAACAATAACACTGTCACCAAAGATCAAAATACACTGTCACCAAAAGACCAAAGCTTACAGAAGTAAAGTTAAATGCATTTCAGTGGAATTCGAAGCCTTTTTAAAAGTTTTTGTCCGTTCAATCATTAATATGTTATCTAAATCCCTGTTCTAATCGAATCAACCGTGTTTGTTATATTGTTAGCATTGTATTTAATCTACGAACATTTCCAAAAATGATAATAAAATTTTGCATTGTCTATGTTGTGACGTCACAAGTCCGTGGCCAAGTGGTTACGGTCGTTGACTTTAAACCACTTGCCTCTCATCGCTGTGGGTTCGAATCCCAATAGGGGCTTTGGATTCTTTCATGTGAGGAAGCTTTTGAGCTAGCTCACGAACGTCAGTGGTTCTACACAGGTGCCCCTTCGTGCCTGAAATAATGCACGGAAGGGCATCTGAGGTCTTCCTCCACCAGTAAAGGTGGAACGTCGCTATATTACATAATGTGTCGATGTGACGTAAAACCAAATTAAACAAACAAACTCTGACATTATTGATCTAATATGTTCAAGCTGATTGATGTCATTGATGATTTTCACGAAATAATATATATATTGGAAATTGAAGCGTCGAGTAAATTAAAACAACAATAAAAAGGACAAGTTTATATATTGATATACAACAAAGGACACTATTTATTTGCTCATTTATAGCTCACTGACTTTCAATCAATATTTAAGGGGTCAAATGCGGTTATTATAGAAATTGAAATTTTTAAAAGCCTACTTAAGTTTATGTGATATAAAGAATCTAACATTCGTGTCTTTCCCTAATGACTTTGAATAAATACTCGTTTAATAAAAGTGATATAATACTATAATAAATTTCCAAAAGTCACTCTTGATTTGTACAATAAGCTTCATCATTTGTTACGATAATTAACAAAAAAGACTAAAAAAGAAATGTTTAACATGTGAATGGTACGAATGATCACCAAACATACGAAATACTGTTCAATCTTTCCAAGCGAATAAAATTGAAATAAAAATATTGAAATAAATATGTTAAGAGTTTTACTTCTGATAAAGTATGTTTTTAGGAAATAGAATTTATTGTTATAAATATCTTACACAGTGCTACAATAAAATACTTGCACGAGATGACTTTTTGTAAAATCTACCATCCATCCATTTGCTTTAAAAGTATCAAAAGTCTAAAATTATTATTACATGTATTACCAAAAATGAACCTACCTGACATCCTTAGTAAATCAAATAATTATCAAGAAGAAGAAAAAAGAAATGATAACAATTGTCTTTTGAAGTAACTACACTTAATCACTTTTCATAATATAACCATGAAATATGTGTGGGTAAAATTGTGTGACAATGTGTACGTAATTTAAAAGACTTTCCCGCCAGCTCGTATACATATTTTTGTCGTCTGACATACAGTACACCAGATTATCTTTTGTTACAAGAAAAACACTTTAGTATGATACACGATTTAAGAATACGTGAATTCAATATTTACAGTGTTATTAACGATTAAAGGCGCGTAACCTGGTATCGATGAAACAATAATTAGTCAACAAGGTGTTTTTTCTAAATGGGATGTCGATTGTAAGGTTCAGTTTAGACGTGGTACAAGGTTAGCTTTTAAAAAAGCTAGTAGCGACTCGCTTCGTAATTTTTTTTCCAGGGGTGCGTTTAAATGTAAAAATGACAGTTCTGTTAGCTGAAGAGACTTCAGCGAACATCAAAATAAAAGTGACATAAAGTTATGGAAGCCAGCTTCACTCAGTTTAACAAAGAGGAATATGAGTATATATTATGAAGATGCATGTAAACAGATAGAATGAAGTCCCTATGTCTATGCACATTTACTATATGGCCTTTTGACCTTGACCAAATAAATGTTAGATAGGTAGAATTCATAAAGATGTCTCTTTATACGAAGTTAAGTTGTAATATGATATTTAGTATTGGAATGAGTGACAGACACAAGTCCTAAAGTAAACACAAGTTGTCAATTAATTCATCCAGAAAAGCCGGGATCCTATTAAAAATATAGGGATCCCGGGAACTAACCAGTCTTAGATGCTTTTCAGATAAGCCGGGATCCTATTAAAACATATAGGGATCCCGGGAATTGACCAGTTCAAGAATATAGATTTCAGAAAAGCCGGGATTATATTAAAGTCTAAAGAGATCCAAGGAATTTGCCAGTTCAAGAATAGTTTTCAGAAAAGCTGGGCTCGCATTAAAACATAAAGGGATCCCGGGATTTGACCAATTCAAGAATGTAGTCTTTGATTTTTCCAATTAATTAGGCATATAATTATAAGTATTGTGATATTTAAGTTTGTTGCTAAATAGCTCTAAATATATTTATATCCAAAGTTTAATTAATTTAACGTTCATTACATACAATAAAAAAACTTAACGTTTAATGGCCTTTCATTACGACAATAATCAACACAAATATAGTTAATAAGTTTTTCCTCTATATCTTATACGATCCCGGATCCCGGCCAGTCCGGGCGTCCCGGATCCCGGCCAGTAAATATATACACTAAATACCAGAAAGGATAAAATGACCGGAAAAAAATGAAAAAGAAAAAAAATGCACAGAACCAGGTGAACACTTATGTTAATTAACCAAATGAAAACTTACTATTGAGGAACAGGTGAAATCGCTAAATCAAAAGTCAGTGTTGATATGATTTATCGAAAAGAATTCATGAAAACAAACATTTTTAATCATCATAATATCTTTGCGCTCAAAACAATACTTGCTGCTTTTTAAATATGGCGTGAAAATTGAAGGTTTTTTGACGCTATGTAAGATTAAATTTGATTGGCTAAGTACTTTTGGATCCTAGCCCTGATAGATAAATTTTTATAGAAAGCTGGAAGCCAAGCTTCGATTAAATTTTCGGATGGATTCGGAGTTTTAGGTTGTTTCTCAGTAAAATCCTAACGTAATACCGGCTCGCCGTGGCGAGCCGGCATTATAGAAATTTTGCCGCAATTTAACAATATTTTAAATCGCAATGTTGCCAATTCTATTGAAATAGAACAAATGATTCTTGATTTTTACATTTAAATTCCGATGTACATTATATAAGCATACTTTAAGTAACCGTTCATATCCAGAGAGCAAATGGTTGGATTCTGAGTGCGCTAAGGCGAAACGTATATATTAAGATGAATAAGTATATTTGATAATAATAAATCTACTGAATCATGGTTTTCATTTTGCAATAAAAAGAAATCTTAAAAACATTTGATACTTAAAAAGAAAAGCGCATATAAAATTAAAATGGCAGATGAACTCATCCGTCTGAAAAACAATAAACCAAAAGATTTTTGGAAGCATTTTAAAAACAAGCGAGAGACTACTGACTCACAAATTCTTATTGATGATTTCCGCGATTATTTTAAAGGATTTTCTTCTGATATTCAAAGCACATTTATCGACCAAGTTGAAAATTTCAATAGCAATAGTGATTTCAATATCAATAATGCAACTTTCGAGGAATTAAATACTTCTATTATTTGTGGTGAGGTACTGTCATCAATTAAACGCTTTAAAAGTAATAACTCATCTTGCCCAAGCGATAATTTTTGTTAAACGAATATTTTATCTCTACGGCAGATATACTCGTTGGGCATATTACTGATTTATTCAATAAGATTTTTTGTTCTGGTCACTTTCCCGAAATTTTGGTCTCAAGGTTTTATAGTGCCATTACATAAAAAATGTCCAAAAATATCCGGAATAATTATCGCGAAATAACTCTCATTTGTACTTTTGGAATTGTTTTATTATTTTGTTCTTACTAGAAGAGTTGAAAAGTGGTTTAAAGATAACAATTTTTTATCAGACGCACAGTTTGGCTTTCGTAGGGATAGTAGTACAGTCGACGCGGTATTTGTTTTACATAACTTGAACGAAAATAAATGCGACCTACCATGCGCTTTTATAGATCTCACGAAATAATTTGACTCTTTTTATACAAACGCTTTATGGTTCAAATTGTTTAACATGGGTTTCGATGGAAAAATTTTAACAATGTTCCAGGCTATGTATCGTGCATTAAGTACTGCAACACATTCTCAGACTTTTTTGAATTTTCAATTGGTCTTCGTCAAGGCTTAAATAATTCTCCGGTTATGTTTGCACTTTTTTAGAGGACTTAGAACTATATTAACAAAACAGATTAAATTGTGGTTTGTCAATTTTTGAACTTTGTATCATTATTTTACTGTTTGCTGATGATATGGTGTAAGTAGGACATTCTATAGAAGATTTATAATCCAGTCTTAACTTATTATATGAATATTGCACATACTGGGGTTTACAAGTTAATACTTCAAAAACAAAAGTCGTTATATTTAGAAAAAGGGGCCCCTTGAGACAGAACGAAATTTTTTTTTTATAAAAATGAACAGATAGAGATAGTTAATGAGTTCAACCATTAAGGAGTAGTTTTAAATTATACGGGTTCATTTGTTTTGCATAATCAATATATTATTGGAAAAGCCCTAAACACATGTAATGTTCTACAAAGTAATGTAAATAAGTTAGAATTATCAACCATATTTCTTTACAATTATTT